TAATGAGCCGGAAGAGAAAAGAGTAATCAGGAGGACAGTAGATAGCGATTGACATTGCATTTAACTTTATTTTTGGCTAGAAAGCATGGCGTCGGAAAGGGAGTTCCAGAAAAGAGAAGTGCTAGTAAAGAAACTGTTAGCATAAAACTTACGGCTACATCTAGCAAACTCAACTGTAAATTGATGAGACCACGACGCCAGTCTGGTGCTGAGCTTAAATTTTAAAAAAATGTCTAGGTACCATAGCGAAGAGCTCATCTGAACAATTACCATGAAATTTTTTATAGAAAATACATAGAGAGACAACTATACATCGGTGGAAAAGTGACCGAAGCCGTGCTACCAGATCATGACCAATAATATTGCTGATTCTTCTTTGGATCTTATCAAGAAGTTCCAGGTAAATAGCAAGGGCACCAGACCATATGTGGCAGCAATATTCTAAGCATGGACGAATGGTAGACTTATAAATATGTAAGATAGATTCTGCTCGGACAAAGAATGGCTTGTTAATTTTAACGCCTCCAAAACGAAATTGCTCTCTTTTAATCGCCTGAGAGAGCCATTTTTACCGTCCATGAGCATGGCTAATGCTTACCACCAGTAGAGTGATTCACTGCGCCTTCTTGGGCCAACATTGTCCGCTGACATGAAGTGGAAAGATAATATCAAATCAATTGCTAGATCTGCTGCTAGGAAAGTTGGTTCCCTGTGTTCTACTAGATAATTTATCTCGACAGATTCTATCTTACATATTTCTATCATTCGTCTTTGCTTTGAATACTTCTGCCATATCTGGTCTGGTTCTCCTGTTATATATTCATGATAAAAAATAAAAAGAAGAATCTGCAATGTTATTGGCCATTTCCTGACACCTCGGCTTCAGTCATTTTCACACCGCCGTAATATAGCTTTCCTGTGCCTTTTCTATAAATATTTTCAATGTTTTGATGAACTTTCCTCTCTGATGCCTTGACTTTATGAATTTAAGCGCGGTACTAGATTGGCGGTAATTTTACAGCTGAAATGGCTAGATGTAACCGTAAGTTCTATGCTAACAGTTTCTTCTATCACACTTCTCGCTTGTGGAATTCTCTTCAGGCTTCTTGCTTCCCAGTCAACATTGAATTTAAATTCAATGTTAAACGTCATCTTCTGTCTAATGTTTTGTTCTTTTATTGTTCTCTCTTCATAATACTGTTTTTCTATCATGTACTCACATACTCAGTAACCGTTTTGCGTCGTAGTTACTTTATTGCCTTGCTTGGGGGACAATGATTAATAAAAGAAGGTAATGCATTCGGAAATGTTTTTATATCCATAGGTCTCATAATAACTACTAAATCTAATAAGTAAATTTTCGGTTTGTTTTGTTTTGATTTGGTTTACGGCATATCAACCTCAATGAGTTATTTAATGCCGGCAAAATTTTTATTGCTGGTAATATTTTGTTTTGTCAAAAATCTATTTCTGGTAATAATTTTTCCTTCAAAATTATATTGCTGGTAATAATCTTTTTCAAAAAAAGTATTGCCGGTAATATTTTTTTTCTAAAAATGCATTGCTGGTAATAATTTTTTTTCAAAAACGTATTGTTGATAAAATTCTTTTCAAAAATGTATGGCTGGTAATAGATTTTTTTCTTCAAAAATTTATTGCTGATAATAATTTTTTACAAAGTATTTCGGGTATTAAAACCTATTTTTACACTTTCATAGTGTTTTTACCGCAGTTCCGGGATTAACTATTTGCTCATAGCTGGAACCCTAACAGGTTCTACCACCCCGGATCAGGGTGGACCTAGGAACACCAGCAATTAAGAGGTGGTTCCACGTTCTTCAAAACCTCCTGATCAGACACCATGCTGTTGGACTTAGTTTATCGTCTTACCCAAGACGCGGTAAATTTTTTTTAGTAATAAAATGGTTACACTTACTGGTCACTTAATAAGTGCAGGTTTTTATAAAAGCCAACGAGGTGGCTGCAGTTTAATGTATATGAGGATATCGTTGAATTTCATTTAATGAATTAGTATAACTAATAAAGTTGATTTAAATGATTTTGAATGCGGCATGTTCGGTGGTGTCAGACTGAACTGAGTATTACAGAGGCTGTTGAACTACTGGGATTTTCAGCCACAACCATCTCTAGCATTTACAGAGAATGGTCAGTAAAAAGGAAAACTCCCTGCCATCGGCAAGTCTGTGGGTGGACATTCCTTGTTGATGAAAGAGGTCGGAAGAGAAAGGCCAGACCGGTCGAATAGAAAAGCAACAAATAAATACTCTATTCGACGGAGATATACAGAATAGCATATCTAAACATACAACACATCGAACCTTGAAGCAGATTGGCTACAGCAGCAGAAAAACATGTTGGGTACCACTCTTGTCAGATAAGAACAAGAACCTGCAATTCACTAAAGTTCACAATAGAAAATTAGAAAAATTACCTCGTCTGATGAGTCTCAATTTCTGTTGATAATAAGCCCAGAATTTGGCGTAAACAGCATTCATATATGAATCTATATCCTGCCTTGCGTTCCACTGTTCAGGATGTTGTTGTTGGTTTAATGATATGATGAATCTATTTTTTTCTGCTTGATCGTTAAAATTAAAATGCCGTAGCCTGCGTACGTATCGTAGTTGACCGAGTGTCTTAATTTATGTCTACAGTATAACCACCCTTTAGTAACTTCCGAACAGGACAATACTCAGTGGCACAAATAAAAAATAGTGGCAGGTTGGCTCATGGAATACAACGCTGTGTTAAACACAGTGTTAAAATGGCCTCCACAGTCACCGGAGAGCATTTTGGGGATGTGGCGGAAAAGGAGATTCGAATCCTGCCAAAGAATTTAGAAAAGATTTGTGGTGTTGTAATTACAGCATAATTTCGAAAGAATGCTTTCAGAACATTGTTGAATACGTATCAAGAGGAATTGTGGTAGTTCTAAGAGCAAAATTGGGTCCAACCTGTTACTTGAGGAGTTTTGTTACCAACAGCCGAGTAATCGTCAAGTACCCTTTATTAGGTTACTTGAAGACTAGTGAGTGCATACTTGACTGAATTAAATTGGTCTGCGAGGCTCGCTTTCTAACCGTTACATCATGAAATGGTGTTCAGGATAGCTGTAATAGTTATTTAATAGGTTTTGGCATAAGGTCACAATTTGGGGGTACGCTGTGAAAATCGGAGCCATTAATCAGAATTAGTTTTTATTTATTTATTATTATTTACACCCATTTGAGTTAGAAAGGCATTTAAGACAGCGGAGGAGAATTTGTAGAAATGTACAGTTACTATCTTCCAATATAATCAAAATATATTTTGATATCCTTCCTGAAGATATCTAAAGCCTTGGCAATGATTACCGAAAGATAAAGAGAGTGTGTCCACTTATTCAGTATTCGCTATGAAAAAAGGATAGTTTGTAGTATTCACGTGATGGATTTGGGGATTACAGGGAGTGGAAGTGAGAGAAAAAACTGAGTATAGGAAGGATTGAAAAAAAGACAAAACGGGATTCAACATGATAGAAGATGGCGATTGACATTGCATTTAAATCTTAGTAAGCGGGAAGTGCGAGAAAAACTGTTGGAGTAGAAATTGCATTTACCTATTTAAACAGTAAACGGGTGGGGCCTAGATGTCAATCTAGTAGTTCATGTAGTCGGGGTACCAGTGAAAACAGCTCTTCAAAGCAGTTGGCATGAAAAGACAGAGGGAAGCCACGCCATGACGGTGTGAAATTGACTGAAGTCGAGTGCCAAGATAGATGTATTCTCTGGATTTTGTTAAGAACATTAAGATGTATAGCAGGAGCACTAGACCAGATATGGCTTAGTGCTCGGTGCACGGACGAATGGTTTTAGTAAAATATTTCTAGATATCTATATCCGCAACTAAATCTAAATACCTGTATAAAATCAAGTCTGAGACATTCAGTTTCAAAACTTAAACGATCAAGTCTTTTAAGTGTGTTGGCTAGAGCAGATTTTTTATTTCAGGAATCACTTCAGTAAATCGTTTTTGTCCTTTTTACTAATTGTTGTATATCACAATGAGTGTTAGCCGACTACACGCAGGATGTATAAACAAAAATAGGACGGACTAACGACAAGCAAAGCTTCAGAATGTTTCATTACGTTGTGTGAAAAGGTTCTTTGCATTATATTTACAGGGTACACCAAGAAAAAAAAAAAAAAAAAAAAAAAAAAACCCCAGGATATTTGGTAAAAGTTATTTAATTGTTGGAATTTTTGTTAACAGTTATTTGAAAGAAAAGCAAAGGATAGAAATTTAGTCCCTTAAAACAGAACAAAAATACAAATGGTAGACGTGATGTTTAAATTAAAGAACTCTGACAAAATTTCTTGGCATTTTTTTAGTCCCTAAGTTGAACGTTTTTTCTTAAAGAGAACAATCACCTCATTTGATAACTATGGCATCCTGGAACAACAAAAGGTTAAAAAAGTTAGTTATTTTTTGGTTCGTTCATATATTAAAATATAAAGTTAATTTTTTATATGTTAGTTAATCTTTTTTATCATATACTAAATGTAAATTTTCCTGTTTTTTTTTTATGTTAGTTAATCTTTTTTATCATATAGTAAATGTAAATTTTCCTGTTTTTTTTATATTAGTTAATCTTTTTCATCATATAGTAAATGTAAATTTTCTTGTTTTTTTTTGTGGGTCACTATAGTATAAATTAGATACATTAGACCAGCTTGCGCCGCATCAGCCCGCTATGATGTGACAAATAGAATCGAAATAATTATATAAAACTTTCTAACCCGGTGGCACTGTGAGGTAAGGAATTAAGTCTCACTTTGAGAAATGGGAGAGCCGAGGTCGAATTCCAATCGAGTTCATTACATTCACTTCTGTGCTAATATAAGTGGATATAAACGAACCCAACTGGAATTGGAACTCAGCTCTCCGATTAACATTTCGGATATATTATTCATCACACCACCAGCATATTCAAGCTGACAGAGTCTGGTATTCCCAAGCGGTCACCCATCTTGCTACTTATCAGGCTCGACGCTGCTTAACTTGTGTAATCGTGCGGAAACCGGTGTTTCAACGTGACCTGGCCGTATTTCCACCGAGAAGTTAGAGGTGCGTGTTATACACCAGAACTAAATACTAACGCTTTTCCGAATACGTATAGTACCTTATACCTTAGAAGATATGAACAAAGGTAAGTTACATCTATGTAAAACGAATTAATTTATTATTATTATCAGATACATGACCAGGGGCGATCATAAGGTCTTTGTACAGGTTAGCACCTGGTCAGTTCCCTTGATTGAAAGCCAGACAGGTATTCATTAATACGTAGCTTGTTTGGAGCAAGTAGACCTGGCGGAAACCGTCTCTGTCCAAGTCAAACCTCAGCCGATGTTCTACAACTTGAAAGCTCGCATTGTTCATGAAAATATAGCCGTTGAAGAAGAACCCTCCGACCTGGTCATAGAATTCAGTCTAAGAATTTCTTCTTGTTTTTAGGAGTAAGAACAAGATTACTACGCGGATGAAACTTTCATGACCCTGGCAGCAGAGCAAAGACTAAAATATGTTGAATATCTCTGTGCATAATTTTTATTTCAAACAAATGCAGTGGTTAGTGGTTTAAACTCTGTTACATACAATGTCGACTCGTCTACTGTGTAACCCAGTACGACCTACCGCATGGTCAGGTCACTGGAGACTAGGCCGTTTCCTTCTTGGAGAGTCAACGACCATCTAACACAATGAAGTAAAGTGAGCTCTATAGCTATGGATGCGGTCAGTACGGTGATGACACTGCATCTCTGGGTGGAAACCTTATGATGAAGTCAACGGCCATGGTGGAGGGTTTCTTTGTTGAAATCAACAGACACTTGTTCATGACCAAAGCGAGCCTTCAAACTGGAGGACATTGACAATGGTTTCATTTGGAGAGGGAGGGACACCGCCAGGTCTATTTGTTTTACAAAACACGCTACGCACGAATGAATATTTTCTCTGCTTTCAACCCTGGTGAACAGATCAAGTGCCGGTGATGTAATGGATAACGGCTTGGAATGGAAAATCCGAGAACCGAATTTGGATTCCAGTCAAGTTCGTTACATTAACTTACGGGCAAACAACCTTGATACATTTTGTCCCCTAGTTATGGGTTAAATAGCACGACAAACTGGACTCTCTCTCTCAGTCGCTGGTAATCAGTCTAGGAGTAGGACAACTCTGATTTAAAAAAGCAGTAGCACACGGAAGCCAACCTTGCCAGGGTTACGTGGAAAATATTGGTAGCAGGAGGCTGGATGTGGCCAATGACAGAATCTAACAAACCAGATTTGGCATTGAATTGAAATGGTGTTATGTAAATGATCCTTCGTACTAGTCAGTGGATAAGATCTAATTATTCCGAGTCAGATGGAAACTGCAGGAACAGCCAGACTAACGCCTTGTGTTTTCTAATATATGCACAACTGAAACTCCTATGGTGGCACATAGGAGCGTTCCGATAGATGATATCGTTAGTTACTTAATAGTCAGGTTGCGTATCTTCCTTGCGACTAGTATCATCCATGCGACTGATGAAGATAATAGCAATATAGCAAGATAATACAGTGTATTTCAGAAAAATTGATACCATTTCGTAATCTAATAACATGACATCAATTCTCGTTCAAATGATCTCAAATTTTAAAAGCCAGTGTAGAAATAACTCAAAATTCTGTTTGTTATTTTCTTTTCAGGTATACAAATGCATTTACTGGAAAAGAAAAAAGCGTTTTGTATATTAGAGTACGCACGAATACAGTGAAAGAAGATGATGCATCGCGCATTTGTGAGAAAATTCTCGAAAAATTCACTAGGATCACTGCACCACAGGAAGCTGTTACCCAAGACAGGCTGCAGTGTCTTTGGCAGGAGCTAGACTACCAACTTGACGAATCCCGGGTTATGGTGAAGACATCAACAACAGGATGCTGAATGTAGTCAACAGAAGAATCTAACAGATTAAATTTGGCATTGATCTGCAATGGTGCCAATGAAAAAAGATCCTTCTTACTGGAAACTAGATGAGAACATATTATTCAGATAGACATGCTGTCTGTACAGGGCAAAAGGAGCAGAATCGGAAGAGATGACCGAGCAGCTTCAGGAAACATTTTTGTGAAGTGTGTTGCTGATGAACACATTGTGCTACTTGAATGGCTACCATGTTTACTTAACCTGATACCTTGCAATTTCTCTGGAGTTATGTGATGGGATTGATCTATGCCCTGCTCTTTCTACAATCTTAGAGGAACTCAAGAAGAGAATTACAGCTGCACTGGAGATTGTTACCCATGGCATACTGCAGGAGCTGGACTGCCGACATGACGTGTGTCGTGACATAGGCCGTGCGTATCTTGAAAACTTTTAAAATCGTTCATGAAATCAAATTTAAATATTTAAATTTTGAAGAAAAAAATCTCCTTTTGCTAACCAATAATCCTGTTTAGTTTCATTTGTATAGAATATGCAGCTACTCAGATAATTACATCTCAAATAATATCAAAGTTTTTGGAACACTCTGTATGATAAAATAACGATATATATTGAATTATTTTTTTATTATATATAATAAAATTATAACACATTAGATATTGTTATCATAATCATAAAATCTTAGCTAAATATATTATAATACACTCATTTCGTTATTTACTGTAATACAAAATTAATTAAGTGGAACAGAATGGATGAAAATGTAGTAACACGAGCTTATTCAAACCTTGACAGATAGATCCATCCTGTGAAAGAAAATAATGAAGTTATCTTAATTCTATGACGTGTAAGCTATACACCATATATGAAACGTATGTTTATATCTCTTACAATGTGTTCTCTTCTTTCTCTCCTCATTCATCTCGTAGCCAGAATTGTGGTACCGTCGACAATAAACACATTACCTTAATTCGCCTTCTAGCCACCGCCGGCATTAACTAACCTTTGACAAGTTTAGAGGCGAGACTCTCAACCGTTACATTCAATATACCGTTCTAGATACGTACCAGCTTCCCGCCATAACCAGCTTCAGTTGACAGTCTATTATGTAATTCCGTCGGACATAAGAACCACGAGTCCTATTTCACGCTGACACCTACACGACATTGATCGGAAAAGTACTGCCACAATCTATCGACTTCGATGAACCGAGCAGACAACGCATTGAGAACGAGAACGCATTTTGCAGAGACAAGCCTAAGCCAATATATTACCCGGCGGCTTTAACATCGACATGGCGTCCAGCCAAACAATGCTATCGTATAGATTCACCACTGGGAAAATATCCCTTAGTCAAAATGCTCGATATGACACGCGGCATATCAACTCCTTATGGGCCTTTGAGTGCCGACATTTAATTTTCTTAGAAGCATTAATAATTTTCTTTTACAAAAATGCATTGCAGGTAATTTTTTTACTATAAAAATATATTGCGGATATTTTTACTATAAAAATGTATTTTTATACTTTCAGTGTGTTTTGATACCAATTTGGGAGTTAAGTATTTGCCCATATTTGGGACCTTAACAGGTATTACTACTCTGGTTAGTGGGGCCCAAAGAACACCAGCAATTAAGATGTGGTTCCACGCAACGCAAAAATCTCCCGATCAGAGTTCTTGCTGTTGGATCTATTTTATCGTCATACTCAGGACGCTGTGGTATTTGTAAGAGAAACAGCAAGTTAAAAGGTTCAAATCGTAATATATAACATAAATCTACTTATTATATGTTTTATAATCTGATCATTATGCACGTCTTGAATATTATACTGACAAAGTTTCAGATGATTTACTCTCCGGTCTTCGTCAGGTGCCTGCCTTACTCGGTAAATTAACCGGAATATTGAACTGAAATCTTTAGTCAGTATATTTTAGTCATGTTGAACGTTGGAACTCTTAATGGGGCCCCTTGATTTGAATGCCTATTGGGACACACGTTCACCTCAGAATTCAAGCGGAAATCACATAGACAATCCGTTGCAAAGGATACTGGGAAATTTCTCGCTGCATAGTATTGCTTCAAAAAGAATCTTTCAGCCATGCTTTACCTTTAAAAGATCAGATAAAAAATAAAGTATTGCTGCCATATATGGACTCGAGCTGCTCGATGCACACATTGATAATATTAAGCAGTCTTGTGGGGTGGTTTTTCCATCATACAACCTCTTTCCCACAGACGCAATATTGCAAACCTTTCATTAATCTACGCTGCTTGCATGTCAATTTTTTCGACGAGCTCCATTATATAGTGCTAATACTCAAATATTTACAACCAAGAGTCTCTTTGCTACAGCTAGATGGTTGAATCAGCCCCATTTTCTACATATTTCTTTGGTAAAAAGGCCGTTCCAATTTCTTCCTAATAAACCCTACTTTGCATACTAAACTACTGGGTGGAGACTTCCGAGAACAGTTCAATCTTCAAGTCTGGGGGCAATCCGCCATAATATTCACTTCTTTACTTTTACGTTCATATGAAAAACACTCATTCATTAACACTCTTCCTTGAATGCCTCTTGGGCGAACTATTAAAATAATATGTATCATCTATTTTTTTTGTTGATTTTTATTGTATCTTTCAAGGATTTTTCACATTTATTCGATATTATTTTACTTAAAATATCATTTTAATAGGAGTAGATAAGTTCGCCTACCTGCAGTTTCACACTTTGCGTTGGCAGCTTGACAAAATTTTATACAGTCAACGCCCAGTTAAATAAGCATTAACATAGTTGGTTGTCTAGGTGTATTATGCAAATATTTACACACAAACACACACACAATCTCTCTCTCTCTCTCTCTCTCTCTCTCTATATATATATATATTTATATATTATATATATTTTTCTTGCTTGAACGCAATCTTCCGGATATGTGCGTTGCGTTTAGCCTCGACTATATACTATATATATATATATATATATATATATATATATATATATATATATATATATATATATATATATATATATAAAAGTGGACATTAAAGTTAACACTCAGAGCCGACAGACTGTTTCCACATGTGGCCTCATGATTGCGTCTGGCATTAAACAGT